GGCCGGCTTCTCTGCTCTCTGACATTCTCCTTCTCCCGAGAGAGGCCGCCATGTCACAGTAATGTCAAACACATGCGCTCACAACACCGTCGCCGTCTTTCCCACTGTTTGGAGGGATAAACAGGGCTGAAACCATGGCAATCGCCCCCTTGCCCATCCCTGCTGCTCCCTTTCACTGGCACTCCCACTGGGAGCCCGGGGTTGCCACGGTAGGACAACCGGATGGACTGCTGGGACAATTTGCCATAACAGAGCCTTCACCCCTGAGTAAGTATTGAGACACACTGCAATGCAAATGTTGTGATCGTGTGAGTATATTTATCAGCACCTCACTTAACTAAAAGGCCAATCAAATATGTCATTCATTTGATGTTAAATTTGGACTGACTGAGTCTCTTCTCTTAGGATACATTCAGACTGCAGGGAAAAGTGGCCCAAATCCTATGTTTTGTGAGTTACATGTGACTCAGATCTGTTTTTTCCCCCATTACAGTGTGAGCAGCACAAACCACTTGGAATCTGATCTTTTCAATTCTTATTTGGACCACTTTCACATGTGGTCCTAAATTAGACACAGGTCCATTTTGCAATGTGATCTCAGTCTGAACAGTCATATCAGAATCATGTGACTATACATCTCTCTAGATGTACGTTCGTGACAATTCTGTGTTGATGAGAGTCACTACAAAGATTTTACATGCCAGTAGTTCTTTAGTCACTCTGTGAATATGAAAGACAGCAGAGAAGGTAATCATTGATGGGACAGTAAGGTGGTTACAAGTATTATACGACAGCTCTATACAAGCAAAACTTCAAGGAAAAGTACATGAAAAAACTTTGCTCTCTTACTCCTTTTCTTTACTTCTCCTTGTCACCTGCGCACAAATTCTCTGGCTTCCGCGGCACATCAGCTTATAAATGAATGCATAAACGCTGGCTTCCATATTTACTTGTGTATGGCAGCATGCTGATTGCTTGTTATTGTTCTTTTGGGCATGCAAGTCAGTTTATGACTGTGACCAGTTCACGCTCAAGTCTGATATTGGTCACATTTTGAAAATAATATGAACAGCCAAACCAACAAGATCTGAGCAATAAGAATAAGAATGACTCACAGTGTGAACATAACCTTAGTCTCTACCTTTATCTGTGACACACACACACACACACACATTGGTTTTGTGGTGCACACTGTGCAGTTATGATTTTTTAATTTTATGCATTTTTCCAGTGTGGATCTGGAAGGCATTCCTTCAAATACATGCAACTTTGGAAAGAAAGGAAAAAAGACCCAGATCTTTTACTCAGTCTGAGAATCATTTCCTCACACCAGGACATAAGTGACACATAAGTGCTCTCTCTGGCAGCTAATGTAGATAATAGACCAGGATCATCTCTACTGAGCTCTTCTAAAGACATCAACAAATAAACAAAACACGTTCAGAAACCTCACTTCTAAAGCTTTTGGACGTCCCCACCTGCTCAGGACTCATGCGACTACACAATTGCATTAATGCATTATAGGAATTAGGATCAGTGTGTGATCTGACAACTCTCTAGACACTGGGATGGGTAGATAGCAAATTCACTTCAATTAAAATTACATTTTTGTAAAAGACATTCCAATGTTGATTTGACATAAATAAGGTAATCCAATTTGGAGAAATCCAAAATATATCATACAAATATTAATGGGTTTTTTTGTATTTAATTTATACACTCTTAAATGTCTGCATAAAAGTGGAGCAAAATATACTGTTAAATGTTAATATGGAGGAATTTTAGGTAAATATTTTTCACAGGTGTTTTACCCATATTTTGAATTACGCATCACATTATGTTGTGCTTTACATTTAAAGGAAATGTCTGTAAACTTATGTAAAACTACCAAAACCTTTTCTGTTTTGTTTTTTTTACAGATTTTTTGTTTACAGTGTAGCCAAGTAAAACAGGAAGGTAGAGGGGAAAATATGTACCTTGAGGTATGATGCAGGTCAGACTCGAACCTGCATCTGGCTCTTTGTGCTCTCCAAGCACATGTACTACCCACTATGGCACTAGAACATGTTGTAGAACTGTGTACCTGTGAGCACAACAACCATTTTTTGTGCACACATGCACTACTCAACAGGATCAGGATATGTTGCGTGCCAGATTCGAATCTGCATACCTACAGTATAAACACAATAACCCTTTTTATGTCACCAACCAATACACAAACCACTGTGCAACTACAAAAAACGTCTATTTATGAATTTGAGTAGCTCTTTTCATAGTATAGCTTTTGTGCCAAAGAGGTAAACTTGTATAAACTGGCATTTTAAGTGAGGTGCTGCCACGTGTCGCAGGGTTAGTTGTGTGAGCGAGGTCTTTTCTGCATGTGGCAGTCAGGCTACCTGACCGATCAGGAGCCAGTGCTTACTGATCAGTGCCTGACCCCACCCCCTAGTTCTCTCGCTCTCTCTTCCTCCCTCCCCCTGCTGCTTTGCCGGCCGTCTGCCTGCACCCATCTCCCGCCCACCGCCATCTGCTCCTCTCGTTAATTACGAGACGGCAAACTTCACCTGCACCCGCACTCAAATTACAATAATTACCTCCAGTGCACACCATGTCCCTGCTACCATTGCAGAGCACTGCCTCAAGGACACGCTCTCCCAACCTGAATGCAGGCGTCCTATATACTAGTAAACTTAAGATATATACCACAACCATAAAAACTGACACCTTCCACATGACTGCATGATAGTAACTGTGTGAGCCTTTATGAATTCTCAGCAGATCAGTGCTGGTTGTTGCACTGACAGTTTGAAATACACTTCTGTTTCAAAACTAGTGCAACACCCAGTTAGTGCAAATCATGAAGTTTAAAGTTATAATATCTAAAGCAACTTCGATTTACATTTTTTGTAGGATTTCTAAACCATGGTCAAAAAAGTGTAGGAAATTTGGTTAAAAAAAAAACAATTGTAAATGTTCTAGCAGTTTGTTTTTTAATTTAAGCACGTGTAGGCTATTTTAGGCTTTACTAACATTCTGAACAGGTTTAAGTGTAGACAGTGAGCAAGTAAGACTGACTACAAAGACCCTCGCCAGAAGCTGCAAAACCAATCAAACAAGTTCTCCATATCTACCAATGGAAAGCAGTGTCTCCTCAGAGCCATTTGACTTAACCACATATACTGACGCTCCTATATAAATCTACTAAAGATGGCATGAAAGCTAATTGAATAATCACTCCAGATGAATGAATGGCTTTCTCTTAGTGGAGGTGCTTTAGTGCATGCAGCAGGGATATTTGCCTGTAAAAGCTATAAGGGCTATTTGGTGGTAATGTTTAAGGATAGTCTGTGGCCACAGCGCGGTTTCACCTTTAGACATTTAGCTGTTGGGAGAACTATTACCATCTGTTCATTCATAATTTAGCTGATCTTTACTGGGGTCAATTGAAGAGTAAAGTGGTGGTTTGCAGTGCAACAGCAGTAACATCAACGGGTGCTGACTGGGCTGGACTGAAGGACAGTTAAGACAAGTGATGTTGTAACAGAGCATATTGTGGTTTCATCCATCAGTGTGCTGGCAAGGTTGCAATGAACAATTCATCATAATGCACCAGATCACATCTTCATTTTTGTGCTCATATAGACTAATCATTTATTAGATGAACAGGTGCAGAGATTGCCAGACTGATGACTGCTATAAATGTGTTTTTTCATAAGATTGAAGTTATTTGATGTGCATAAATATGCTGTAATTTCTGCTTGTTTGTTTATTATTGGCAAGGTTCAGGTTTCAGAAAATGTGAAACAATTAAAGGATGCAACGTGAGCAAACTTCTGGCAGATCAGACCTAAGTGAATAAGATCACCTCTAATAAGTTCGAATTCAGAGGTCGGGATTGTTTTGCCAAAAGATCAACTTAATATCTGTTGCATTTTTCGTGCTCTTTTCACAAACCGTAACTAAAAACAAATAATTAGCCTACAGAGAGATTGAGAAATAATTCTGGCATGATTCAGTATAGGTTTTTTTTTTATATTAATGGTGCCAATAATTTTTATTGATAATAACAGACTTTCTGTTAAGTCCCCATTCGTATTTTAAATAAGCATCTATTTTCTTTTAAAATAACTCATTTGGAAGAAACAATATATAAATTTTAAACAAAATAGTTTGATAATGTTTGTATTTCATATAAATATATTTATATGTGTGTGTGTGTGTGTGTGTGTGTGCATGTTTATGTGGTTTGAGGACACAAATTTGTATAATAACATGGGTATGACATAGGTATTACAACGAGAAGGTGATTTATAAGGACATTTTCAGTGTCCCCATAATTCAAAAGGCTTATAAATAATTCAGAATGAGTTTTTTTGAAAATCTAAAAATGCAGAAAGTCTCCTGTAAGGGGTAGGTTTAGGGGTAGGGTTGGTGTAGGGCAATAGAAAATACGGTCTGTACAGTATAAAAACCATTACGCCTATGGAGAGTCCCCATAAACCATAAAAACAAACCTGTGTATGCGCTTTTGTGACAAATGAGGACATAAATTTGTGTAATGACAAAGGTATGACATAGGTATTACAAGGAGAATGTGACTTTTCAGGACATTACCCCATGTCCCCACTTTTCAAAACGCTTATAAATCACACAGAATGGAGTATATTGAAAATCTGAAATAGCAGAAGGTTTCCTGTAAGGGGTATGTTTAGGGGTAGGGTTGGTGTAGGGCAATAGAATATACGGTCTGTACAGTATAAAAACCATTACGCCTATGGGATGTCCCCACTTTTCACAAAAACAAACCTGTGTGTGTGTGTGTGTGTGAGTGTGTAGCCTATACTGTACCTACTAGAAGAACCTACCAACATTACAAGCATCTTATAAAATCTTCGCTTAAGTCCAGACTCCAGACTTACATGTACAGTAGGCTATTTAAGAAATAGCCGTTAATATTGAACGAACTAAGTATGTATAGATACAGCAGAAGCATCACTTACTTTTGAAGGTCGAAGTCAAACTGAGGTACTTGCAGCAAAAGAATAATCCACGCGAAAAATAAAAACAGAACTAAACGGAGATTATTACGCCTCGATTGTCACTGAAAAAGGTGTGAACTTTCCCAAATGAATAAAAAGCGTAGGCTATATATGCCGTATTATCAAACAGCGTCTGAGAGAAAGAGAGAGTTCTGAACTCCTTTGGATCGCAGGCGATGTTGACTTTTCGTTCTAGTAATAAATAATGAGGTAATTCAATTGCAAGAAATCGCAAATATATCATACAAAGCTAGAACACAGCGGAACTTTAGTATTAAAGTAGTGAGACTTTGGTATTACGTTCCTTTAAAATGTCGAAATCTTGAAACGTGTTAACAAATTTCTTAGCAAAAATGCACAGGGCGAAAAAAGTTCTCAAATCACACACGCACGCACAAAAAATGAAAATCGCAAAGTCCTCCAGATCTCGCGTTCTTGGTGGTTTTAATATCGTATTCCACAGTAGATGTCCGTGATCCCTCCTAGAAGATAGAAGATGTGTTTTTTAATACTGCCACTGATGCTCCATGTCCCCAAGTAGAAGTCTAGTGAATATTGTCTCTTGTAAATCCTCAAAGTCCTCGTCTACAGAAATGATTCAGATAGGGAGTGTGTCGGAGATCTTCCCTTTAATGCTCCAACTGCTCGTCGCGAACTCCCTCCACACTGAACGCGAAAAAACGGTCCATTAAAAACATCATTCGCGTCCCAGCTAACTGATGTTACACATTCTGCGTTGTTTCGCTCTGCACCATCTCGCGTTTAGGTTTCTTTTCGTTGTTGTTGTCAGTGGTTGGAAGCTGGTGTGTTGTCTAATGACCCTTCTGTCTGCGTTTAAAACACCATCTGGAGAAGAGAAGCGTTCTCCTGCGCTCCTAACCTCTCTTTCTCACTCGCTCGTTCTCTCTCTCTCTCTCTCTCTCTCTCTCTGTGACAGCTCCTCAGACCCACAAGCTGACAGCCTGCCTCCCTTGTGCTGTATAACCCGCTCTGATATTGAGGATTCCTAATATAATTCATATCACATTTTTAATAGACTTGCTATTAACATAATTAGGATGTGCCCACAATTTTCTGCAATTCTTAAGGGAGCATAAGCACCGTCCCTGTCTCTGATAAAAATGTCAGATTGATTGTCATGAGAGCAGTATTGATGGTCCTTCCACAACGCCGGGCGTTTTTGCCAGGTTTTTAAACGCGTTTTGACAGCGCACCGCTAGGGGCCGCTGTTTCCCCATATCAGTTCCTCAGTTCTGCATTCATCAGGCAGTTGACAGCCAGGCAGCTGGTGCCCGAAGCCCGATCGAGGGCATTCAAATCAGATGGGAGATATGATGTTTTTCTAACATAGTTACAAACTGAGCATTTCATTTTTCAGGAGCATCATGTGCTTCATTTAAACATGCTGTCTAAGTGTAGACTGTTGATGGATGGTCCTTACTTTCTTATAATAACTTATATAACTGTCAGCTACTGTCTACATATCGTTTTATTTCTGAGGTCAAACAATGTGTGTAGTATAATACTAATTTCAAATATTAAAGCAAGTGACATGTGTAAACAAATTTTATTAAATTAGCCATTTTTGCTAATATTTTCACTGGTCCCAGTGTGATTTTTAGGGGATGTAAATTAGTTCACCTCAAGTTTAGCCATGAAGTGTAGTTCATTAGGCTGTACTGTTCTATGGATATGTCCTGCTAGCATCTGACAACCTCAGAGTGTCCAAATACATTTAGTGTTCATTTTGAACTGTTTAGGGTAGTAGAGTGGGGGGAAATATCATACTATCATAGACTATCATATTTAACTGTGATGTTCTAAAAAACAACAAGCTTTAAATCCCTTTTTTTTTCTTTTCTTTTTTCTTTTTTCTTTGCTGAAAATTTAGATCACTTACTGTGAAATCCGTTTGGTTACACTTTATTTCGATAGTCCACTTTAGACATTCTATTAACTATAAGTAACTTTGTAACTACATGTCAACTACATGTCAACTAATTCTCATTAATTTGCAACTACATGTCTACTAACACTCAGAGTAGACTGTTAGGGTAGGTTTAGGGTTAGTAGAATAAGTTGACAAAGAAAGTGTTAGAAGATATTAAGCAGACAGTCTACTAATACTCTACTAACTGTTAGTTGACATGTAGTTACAAAGATACTTACTGTTAATAGAATGTCTAAAGTGGACTATCGAAATAAAGTGTTACCATCCGTTTTCTCTCAGGTACATCACCAGTGTAAGCTTCATGGGGAATACTTCTACATCAATTTGTCAACGTAGTCCATAGTTGCAATAACAATGTATCTTGACTTTATCTTGTAGTTATTTTGGGAAAAACAGTAGGGGGACATTTGATCCCATAGGGGTGTTTTCCCCCACTCTACCCTATCCATCGGTTTATTATTTTAAATCTAACAAATGCTTTGTGAAATGTTTTGCATTAAAAATAAATGTCACGTGGTTTGATATTTTGTAATCTAATACAATGATATTCATATATGTCTCCATATATCAGGCCACTGTATACCTGATACTTAATATGTTTGAGACTGCTTACCAGGTGCATATAAAACTATACTTTTCATTAACTATTTATTCTGAGACCTTGGCATGCAGCTAAAATCTATGGCACACTTCAAATGAATAGCAGAGCAGTAACTTGTGTGATTCAAAGAGCCGCATGCACCAACTATGAATATGGATAAGAGATGGCATTTCCACAGACAATTTCAGCTGTATTTGAATATGAATATGACGTTTTCTTCTTGTGCAGAATATTCAATGCAGAATATATCTCTCCTTCTGAGGTACTGGCGGAAAAGCTCTAGTAAATACAGCTGCTGCTAAAAAATTGACCAACTTCTTCTCCAACCCCCCTCCCTCCATTTTGTTCAGTTGATTCCCCCATTTTTGACTGTTTAACCATCACCGCACCTGCTAGCCATTCACTGGCGTTGTGACTCAGTTTTAGGGGGAGGATCTGATGGTGTCACCGCAGGTGAGCCGATGAGAAACGCACATCTGCCTTTCTTCCCCCACCCCTTAAAAATGACAGGATGTAAAGACATGTAAACAAACATAGTTAGCGCTACTCTGCTGTTGGAGAAAGCGCCGGTGGTGTAAAGTACACAGAGACAGCTGCCCCATACCTTCTTTAGTCCCACCATTCCACTTGCCTGGTCAGCCTGAGAAGGCTCCAGTCAAAACACTCTGAGAAATTCACAACTCTAACATAAGTCTATTACTGGTTATGGTTACAGATTTTCTTCCATCTGGAAAACAGTAAAAAAAAAAAAACCAGAAGTCATTTTTATTACAGTGGCCCCTTAGAAAATGCTTTAAAGCATCATGAAATCAAACTGGGAAAAAAGGATCCTAGTCACTTTGAGAAACATTTCTGAGTTTATTTAATTTATGTCCATGTTATTAGAAAATAAATAAATGTTTGTCATTTTAGCTGCGACGTTAACCATTGTGTTAAATAGTTTTTTTTTTCAACCACTCCTATCTGACCATCTGCAGAGAGATCACTTTTTATGATAGATAAAATCATGGGATTTGACCTAATTTTTTTCTTATTGAATATGATGTTTTACCTGGGAAGATGTTACTACTTTACATCGCACAAATAATAGGAGTTATGAGCGCCCCATTGACTTAAAGGGACAGTTCACCCAAAAAATTTAAATTGTGTCATTAATTACTCACCCTCATGTCGTTCCAAACCCGTAAGACTTTCGTTCATCTTCAGAACACAAACTAAGTTATTTTTGTTTTCTTTGCGCACAAAAAGTATTCAGTAAAGTATAAAATTACTGTTGAACCATTGATGTCACATGGACTATTTTAACCATGTCCTTGCTACGTTTCTGGGCCTGAGACCATTTCAGTTACATTGCTGTCTATGGCGGGTCAGAAAGCTTGGATTTCATCAAAAATATCTCCATTTGTGTTCTGAAGATTAATGAAGGTCTTACGGGTTTGGAACGACATGAGGGTGAGTTATTAATTAATGACAGAATTTTCATTTTGGGATGAACTATCCCTTTAAGGCAAGGTAGTGTTCCAGAGTTTAGTGTATGTATGTGAAGTAAATTGATGTCAATGGAATTGAACACTACACTAGATCAAAATTCTCAGCCTTGAGAAATCCTGTAAAAAGAGCAGCCCTCATTGCACTGGTTCCACCTCTCCTTCTCTCATGACAGTTAATACCCAGTTCACAGATATTAAATAAATCCTCTATGACTTGAGTCTCTAGACCCATAATTCTTAATCCACCGTACTGATATGTGGTCAGCTCTGGTGTGGACATGCAATATCTACCTAGATATTCGAGGATTTTTCTACAGCCAAATGCAATTTGGCTACGTTTACAGATGTGTCAGTCTGTGCTGCTCTTGCAAGGGCAAATGTCTCAAACTTATCAAGTGTGAAGTGTTAGGATCTGTCTGCTGCGAATACACCCAGGCTGTGCCTGAACCCAAAGCAGTTGCCTTATTGCCTTGTTACCCAGTGTTTTGTGTATGATGGTTCCTCCTAAGAAATCTAGTTTTAGACTGCCTTCCAAGGCAGTATTATGTCTAATGATCTACGGCACATTCTAATCCATTTTAAAGACAAGAAAATGTAAAATATAAAGTGCTTTATTCTGGACAAAAAAAGGAGTTATACACTGATAAAAAATGGACATTAATAATTTTATGCATCTAATCACAAAAAAGACCATTTAATTTGATTCGCTATCCACTGAAACACATACGATTGTGGGACATCTGTGAAGGATGTATCTATATGTATATCAAGATTCAGATGTATCTTGATACATTTCTTCCCGTATACTGACATATGGGCTGCATTTTTAAGGTTTAGCTTAAATTTGTCTTTTTTAAAGATTGCTACTTTCAGAGGGATTTTAAGTGAATCATCAAAGACAAAGATAATAAGACTTTGAATTCTTCTGTGATCCACTGTTCCACTATTGGGGCTGAAAAGAGAGAAAAAAATAGATTCAACATGAACGACCCTTGGAAGTGATTATTAGACCCTTGGAAGAGATAGTGAGCATAATTGTTTGTGTGACAGCAAAAAAAACAAACATCTTACACTATAGTCATTCTAGACTGTATGTAGAGGTGCTTTTATCTTGATACATTTCTTCCCGTATACTGACATATGGGCTGCATTTTTAAGGTTTAGCTTAAATTTGTCTTTTTTAAAGATTGCTACTTTCAGAGGGATTTTAAGTGAATCATCAAAGACAAAGATAATAAGACTTTGAATTCTTCTGTGATCCACTGTTCCACTATTGGGGCTGAAAAGAGAAAAAAATAGATTCAACATGAACGACCCTTGGAAGTGATTATTAGACCCTTGGAAGAGATAGTGAGCATAATTGTTTGTGTGACAGCAAAAAAAACAAACATCTTACACTATAGTCATTCTAGACTGTATGTAGAGGTGCTTCAGCCCCCTGTGCTTCATCTAAGATACGTTAAAATACCCTGGGAAAAATTCTGTCAGCATCCTTAAAAATCTGTGTTTATGAGATGTCTATTTACATTCACTGAAAACAGTGGCTGCATCATTTACTAAAAATCTTGGGACTGGGAAGAGCTTATTCATCGGCTCTCCATTCCTGTGAAATCTCTAAATTTGCATCCAAATATGTCATCATTACTGATATGCATCTGCTGCCACATGCAGTTTTAATTGGTTTACTAAAATAAATCATCAGTCAGGAAAGTATTCTAACCTTGCACTTAATCCACATGTTCTGCTTGAGATCTGAAAGACCCAAGGCCCTTAATAACAAGCAGATAGCATTGAAGTATTAGCTTGATACTTCATGAATATTAAAATGAATGAAA